TGGGGATGAAGCGTGTTTTTGAAATGAACTTTATTATTATTATTATTGCAACTTTCTGTGTTTCTATGGACTATTTATGTGATAGAAATCTGGTATAACCTTTCGCAGTGTCTAGTAACAATTCACCAGTTTTTTTAATCACCTATCTCATTTATCTCATCCTTTGTTGTTACCATGGGCAATAATCTTGTGATTTTATTCTGTTGTTTATTTGTAGATGTGTATATACTGGACACAATTTTGTATTTCTCTCTAGTCAAGAATGTTAATGTTTGTTCTTTTATACTTATTATTTTTTTGTTTTTAGCACCCTAACCTATTAGGAATAATTGTCATTATGCCTCTGATATTTTCTGATCTTTGTAGACATGTATAGGATATTTTCTATTGGAATTCTATTTTAATCTATTTTCGGAGAAGCTGTCCATAGCTTATTTTGGATATGGTTTATTTCAAATGAGAGACAATTGCATCATGACTCTCCTTGTACTTTGCAATGCACCAACGTATGTACCAAAATCATGAGTGCTTATATCCTCTCCAAATGCATTTCATACTCATAAATAATCAGTCGATCAGGTTCTATAAAAAATCCTCCAGTGTTAGTGGATTTGTGTGATTGTGAACACATTTTTGTGTGCCGTTTATTTTCTTTCCAGTAAGCAATATCGGTTATTAAAAATATTTTGGGTATTATTTTTAATTTAAAAAACTACATAATAATATATACTCATCAAATCCATACTCTTTGAATGTACACAAAGATAATTTCAATTATATTCATAAATATTTGTACCAGATATTGGTTGGTGCTTTGATTGTTGTTAGCAATTATTAATTTTGACTACCCCAGTATACTTTAGGGTGAATTATTTTTCTACCATTGGTGCATGCTCTCCTGAATGTTTTGCCAGTATGGGTTTTGTAATTAAGATGGCTACATGTAGTTCATGTCATCTGTTGTACAATGCTTTTTTATTTGGGGAAAAAAAAACACACACAAAAAACTAACAATTACACAAGATATAAGCATGTCACATCAAAACAATTCAAGTACTCTATATAATATTATGGCGAGGTCTTTATATTTACTTGCAATATTAATACAATTTAAGGTTTGGCCTTGGCCTGAATCATAAGCTCAATCTACATGTTGTCCATGTTCCATATTCTAATGCCATTACTTACCTGAATTCAACATCTGTCCCTGTGAGGCTTTCAGATGTTGAAGAGAGCTGAATGTTTTAAGTCCAGGACAAAAAATGTTTTTGTTAATTAGCTTTATTGTGTTATAGGTTTAAATAATTCAAATTGTATACACTATTAAACCTATTATCTAGAATTAACAAAAACTCTAGCTGCTCTTAAAATAAATAAAATAGGGTTTTGGGGAGGGGGGGGGGAATTTTAGACAGTCCTTGGTTTATATTGGTCATGTGATATTGAAGAATTTTTTTTAGATTTACAATTTTCAAATTGCTCAAATAGAATTTACTGATGCATAATAGTCTAAGTAAATTTTGAACCAGTACTGACTTTAAGGTCTGTTTTTTTTTTAAATTATTATTATTTTTTGTGCAAAAAAAAGCAAAACAAAACATTTGATAACGCAAAAATATAACCTTTTCTCTGTAACATTTTTCTGTCATTTTTGTATCTTTGATCAAGTGCATTTATACTCTTCAATTGAAATAAAGATCTATCCTGGTTGTTTCTGATTATGCATTTTCAATAAGAAGTGTACTTTCTCCTTTTTAACACACTCAATAAAACCATTTTGTTAGAAAAGTTTTCCCCATTGTATTTGTTATAACTGTTCTGTCTTACTTTTTGGGGTTTTTTTTTTCTTTTTACGCAGTTTTATTTAGTTTGGTTTGATTTTTCTGTGCAACAAATTGTGCCCCGAGCAATCAGTTTTTCGGTCGAATTCTGCTGCAACTTTCTTCTTAAATTTAAAAAATAAATGTCTATTTTTCCAAGCACAACACCATATTTGTCACGTTTGGACCAATTAAACTTTAAAAGTAACCAAATTAAGCTTTTTGTGCCTATATACCACTTACTTTAGGGACACCTAATACTCCTTATGGCCAATCAACCATGAAGCCAAGTACTGTCCCTTTAAGTTTACTAGCAAGTTCACTTTACCCGTGAGATACAATTCCATCAGGCAATCAGTTACAGCCCGTGATGCCATGCTACTGCACTAACATAATCAAATATAATCTGCAAAACTTTTACGTCTGGTGAAGGTATCTCATAGTATTTTTATTTTTCTTGGGAAAAAACAAAACCTAATAAATAGATGATTTAGGATGCTAGCCTCTGATGACCTTAGTTCCAACCTACTGACCTCTAATGACTTTACTTCCAACCTGCTGATCTCTGATGACCTTACTTCTAACCTGCTGACCACTGATGACCTTACTTCTAACCTGCTGGCCTTTGGTGACCTTACTTCCCACATGCTGGCCTCTGATGACCTAACTTCCGACCTGCTGACCTCTGATGAACTTACTTCTAACATGCTTGCCTTTGATGACCTTACTTCTGACATGATGGCCTCTGATGACCTTACTTCCAACCAGCTGGCCTCTGATGATGATCTTAATTCCAACATGCTGGTCTCTAATGATGACCTCACTTCTAACATGATGACCTTACTTCCAACATGCTGGCCTCTGATGATGACCTCACTTCCAACATGCTGGTCTCTGACGATGACCTCACTTCCAACATGCTGGTCTCTGACGATGACCTTACTTCCAACATGCTGGTCTCTGACGATGACCTTACTTCCAACATGCTGGTCTCTGACGATGACCTTACTTTCAGCATGCTGGTCTCTGACGATGACCTCACTTCCAACATGCTGGTCTCTGACGATGACCTCACTTCCAACATGCTGGTCTCTGACGATGACCTTACTTCCAACATGCTGGTCTCTGACGATGACCTTACTTCCAACATGCTTGTCTCTGACGATGACCTTACTTCCAACATGCTGGCTTCAGGGACTGTCGATAAAACGCGTCACGCTAATTTAGTTTTAAGCTTACCAGATTTTCTGGAGGCCAAACAGTCACAGAGGCTCACAGCAATCGGAACCATACCGGCCCGTGGGGAAAGACGGGGGGGGGGGGGGGGGGGTGTAATGTGCTTGTCTTTTTTTTCACCCCGCCCCCAAAACTCGTACGTACAATAAGCTTTTTAGCCCCATCCCCATAAATAAACACCAAAGAAATCAAATAATTATGACGTCACAGGAATAAAATTTAAAAAAAAAATGTGTCGCGGATTTATACCGCCGACAGTTTGGCCAGCCCAGCGGTCCCCATAATATACACCGCGTCGCTCTGGGTGCCATGCTCCCTCGGACAGAGCCACGAGAATGGGGCAGTCACAGCTGGGCGTCAAAATCTTCTTTAGATGGGATCTTAATAGTGAATTAAAATATCAAATCCCATATACTTCAGATATATGGATTGGGGGGGGGGGCTGGGGTGTCGTCATTTTTACTGATCCGCCCCGTAGGCACTTTTTTCTCTATATTAAGTGGCCCCATTTTCCGGCTTCGCCCAAGGTGCAGCGAACAAACAATAGTAAAAACAGAATAAAATAAAAAAAAAAATAGCTCTTGACTGAAAAAGTAGTATCCGATAGGGCAGCAAAAGAATGGTGAAACCCTAAATTTTGCATTAGCGCCGGGAATCGAAACATTACAGTAACCTTTGAACTATAACACTGAAGATCGTGGACGAAATATTACTAATACTGCTGAGTTTTACAGATGCGATGTCCAGCTAGTTCATTGGTGAAAAGAAACAGCAACATTACTACAATAATTCCTACACAAAATTGCGTGATTATTTTTTTTTACAGCATTTGAGATGTGAATATGCTATTTTTGGACCGTCAGATAGAGCTGAAACTATTCACTGCGCTTGGCTTTTCAGAGAAATAAGATAAGACCAATCGAAATAAGACAGGCAAATCGTCGCTGCCAAAGTCAAAGGTACGGACAAGCCGGACGACGTAAGGAAAGTACGAACAAATACGGACGTAAAAATTAGTACGGACAAGGGGGGGGGGTCAGAAATACAAACTGTCCGTATTTACTACGGACACCTGGTAACCCTAGTTTAGTACAGTTTTTAACCCCGTCCCAAGGTCGACCGGACAAGCTTAACTTCGGCTCCCCTATTAAGTACAATCATACTTTTTTTTTTTTTCAAGGAAAAAATAGGGGTTAGGTAATGAGTTTATTACCTAGGTTTATTTTTATTTTTTTTATTTTGAACGAACAAAGATATTATTTTTCTTAACATTTATTTGGATAGTGTGAAAAATTAGGCCACCGATGAATTTAATTTGCTAGCCTTAAGATCAGAAAATCTTGTTATTACACTTTCTATTTTTTTCGTCCATTGCGCCCATGCAATTCTTTTTCCTATTTTTGAAGATTGTTGATGGCGCCTTAAACTGCCCGAGTTGCTGGTACCTTGAGCCGGCCCTGCCCCATCCTTCGGCCTGTCACAAAATCCGTCAAAAATCTAAGGACACCCCCCCCCTCCCCAAACCCAAAAAGTACGTCACAATTTCTAAATTTCTAACAAAAGATTTTTTAAAAAAAATAAAAAATTATTAACCCCTCGACCTACGCCACAAAATTTGGTCAAATTCGATACCTCTCTCTTCCCCCCTCCCCCCTCCCACTCCCTCTCTCTGGATGCATCTATTATTAGCCTTAAATAAAATATTTGAAGAGTTCATGCGACTTGTCATACCTAATGTGTTTTGAACATGTTGCTGTAAATCTAAGAATATCTGTTTAAATGTAATTTATAAAGTTAAATTACATTTATAATTAGTAAAATATTATTGGTATTAGGCGGTCGATCCATTGTTTCATGTTGTAAATAGTATAAAACATTTATTTATATATTGTTTCGAGTCTTAATAAAAACTATGACTATGTGTGGAAGAGTTGGTTTGCCACCGTTAATTTAAACAGGCACTAGTAATACTTAAACATTTTGAAAATCCAGTATGTAAAGCTTTATTAGTAAATAAATTACAAATGAATAAATTCAAAGCTGTTTCGTTTGGAATCCCTGCTGCTATTGTTATTATTTGCGGTAAGCGCAATTCATCCGCCATTTAGTGTTTCTTTTTTCAACGTTTGTCAAGTTGTAGGTTTTTTAAATTTAAACACATATAATAAATTATTGGCTTGTGACTTAATTATTTTAATTTAGTTATTATTAAATAAGGTGTTATTCGATCTCATCATCAATCAATCACAATATTGAAAATAATAATTCAATTAATGTGAGTTGTTTAAAAGTAAAGGTTGTAAAAGTAATTGTCACTACTTTACTTAACTTAACTTTTAATTTTAACTTTTACATGACACATAGATGATTAAGATTAAATAAATTAATTAATAAATTCAGTTGAGTTAACTATTAGTATTAGTAAACACTAATTATTTACTAGCTGTACTAATTCTACTAACTACTTGTCTAGTAATTTATGTGTTTAAAGTATTACTATTAGTAATAGTTATTTCATGTAATATTTTTCTATGGAATTGTAGGCAGATTTCTATTATAAATTTAAATTATTTTATTTTTTTATCTGAGTCAGTAAGTTACTGAAAGGTAACTCTGCAAAGAGTGTGACATTTGTATGGGGGTCTTGGGCTATTGGATGATGAATGAAAAATTTGCCAGGGGTCTCAGAATCAACTGATCTCATGGGTATTTAAGAGCACTATTGAAATATTTAAGTTTTAATTTTTGGAAATTTCCCAGATGGCTTAAAATAATAATGCCAGTCCTTAAGAGATATCAAGTCTAGTGTTGCTCTTTTCAAGATATTTTCTATTTGTGTCATTCTTACTCAGAAAAGGGTTTCAGCCTACTGAATTCGATAAGAAAATGTTATTTAGTCATTATTTTTTCATCATTCTGGTCAACAGCTATGGTAATGTCCTATTCTTTGCACAAACTTCAAGTGTATACACATTATGAGAACTATGTTAAGTTTCCAACATTTCATAATCATTCGGAATCAGAAAGCATAAACTGGATTGAACTTGGCAACTATTTTGGTGGTCCACTCTGGATTCTTGGATTAGGGGTAAGATAATGTATTCCGACAAAAGTCCACAATTATAAAAAAAAATGGGGTTTGCATCTTTTTAATCTCAGAATGTTAAATTTAACTTTCCAATTATTGTTTGAAATAAATGTAACATGGTCATCTTTTTATTAGCTGTTACAAATAAGATCAGTAAGTCTTTGAAATATCAACATTAGTAAGAAAAAATAATTTGTAATTCCTTTTTTACTTTGATCAATTTCAGTTTATTGTTTGTGGAGTCTTGGCATTCATTACAGCTATTCTTCAGAATACAACCTTGGTAAGATCGCACTATATGCTGAGATGTAAACTGAACAGACACACACAAATTAATTCTTTCTTTTCCAATAGTAATTGTCTGTGCACCCATTTTGTATGTCTTGTTTTTAAAAGGATAAATTCATTAAAAAAATGTAGCATGCCATAAATGTTAGAACTGAAACATTTGTAAAGGGGAAAATAAACTGATACATATATCATTTCAAAAAAAAGAAAAGAAAAAGTAAATTAACATGAAGTGTCTATATTTTTAAGATTATATTGTTTATAGAAAAATTCTTTTTGAGATAAGGATTTATTTTACAAGCTTCTCATACTTGATGACCTCAAAAGTCACACATTGACATTTTTATGATTGTTTCCCAGTACATGGTTTGCGGCATTATCTCGGGCCTCATGGTCACTATCACAGGAATTATCATAGGCAGCTCTCTTGTGGCCCATCCTGTTCTCACCAATGTGTTCAGTTTGTACCCACAAGCTTGTAACGACACCAACACTAACTGTCAGTGCAAGTGAGCTGTTTTAATATGTCTTACTTCAATGTACTTCAATGTTATGAGGGGAAAAAATTATTTTGATTTCATTGACTATTTTAGTAATTTTAGCAGTGGTCTTAACCTCAAATCATTCAAAATGCAGTGCAATGATAAAAGTTGGCCAGAGTGGTGCACCACGCTTATATAATAATATGTATGAAAAATCTCTTTGTGAGCTCCAAGCGAAAGCTTGAAGGGCAACATGTGGCTCACAGCTGAAAGTTTGAGATCCCCTTACTTATACTGTTAAATTTTTTGTTCTTTAGTTAAGATTTTCTTTTTAATTTAAAATAATTTATTCACTAGATTTCATTTACATTTATAAAATTTCACCATATTATTTTAAAAGTTGTGTTTTTTCCCCCCACTTAAAAATAATCAATTAGGTAAGGAGTGATACTAACAAAGGCAAAATCATGACTAAATTGTATACATTTAGAAGCAGAGTATCATTGCATACCGATTCTATGCCATGAACCCAGACAAAAATCTAAAAGTTTAGTGCACAAGAAAAAAATGCAAAAAAAAAATTAATTGGTTGGCTCAACAAAGTATCATAAGCCTGAACAAATAAAGTAAATATCTAAAATGCTATTCAACAATATAATAAATTAAATCAAATATTCGTTTTTGGGGTTTTAATCACAATAAATGGCATGGTTACTTATTGCCAGTTGTGCTTTTTTTAAAAAAAAAATTTTTTTAAAGGATAATTGATAACATATGAGATGGCTACTAAAATTCATCTACAGTTCATTTATTTCAGAGATGTTAATAACAGGCAATATGTGGAAGTGCCATTTGCATCATGTAGCAGTGTGACAAATGTTCATCATTATTTGGTTGTAGCAGCGGTCGCCACTACCTTCTGCTTAGTCTTTCTTTTGGTTGAAGTGATACTGAGCTGCTATTTTGCCCACAAAGGCCAGGTAAGACCTAGCACATAGTAGTAATTATGTCTCCATTATACATCCAGATAAAATAACATTCCTGGAGATCCGTTGAACTGGGGATGAGGACCCTGAACACATAACCCACCTTGCCATGTTGATGACCCAGCCCTGACCATAAGTCACAGTGGACAGAAAGGAGCAAGACCTATATGAGATATAGTTGCAGAGATATCTTCGGCAATAAATTTAATGCTACGGTTTTATGTTTAGTTGAACTCAAATATTTGATACAAATTTGATAACAACACCCCTGTCCCAACAGGTTCCGTCTAGAGGTGTTGTGTTCCCGTCCGAGCGTGAAGACTGGCGGCCATATAATACCAAAGTGGTGAAGTCTCATCGTGGAAGCTATGAGGACCCAATCACCATTAGTGCTTCTGTCCTTGCCGTCCCGATTTCCTCCACCAGTTTAACCAACACTCCCGACACACACGAGTCCGTGGAAACAATCTTTGCAAGCGAAAAAGCAAAACTGCTGAACCCAGTGTCCAGCAACTTTCCCATGCTGGTGACATCAGGCTCCAGCAATCTGAACGAGGGGAACAGGCTGTCAACAAAAGACACAGAAGTCAAGTTATCCACCAGCAAATAAAGAAACAAACCTGATCCACCTACAGTTCACAGAGACAGATGGAGACAGTTGTGACAGATTGCTTCTCATCGCCAATGATAATGTCAATTTTTATAGTAGTTTTTCCAGGAATGGAGAAGTATTCTACTAAATACTAAAAACGGTTTTACGTTTTAACCACTATTCATAATTGTAATTTTGTAACCACAGCACCATTAATACTATGACAAGGTTACACTCGTACATTGTTTTTATTGAGGTCTCGATGCATTTGTTGTGTTAGACATTACCCAGTACTGTTATAGTGACAGCTGGCTATTGTTTAGTTCATTGCAGATATTGTCACTTATGTAAGTGTAATTACTCATGAGGGTGAAGGAAATACCTTTAGTTTAACATGGCCTAATTTTGAATGAACTTCATTTTGAGTGTTTTAAAATAGCAACTTAAAATAATTGACGGCTTGGAAATAGAAACAAAGTGTGACAGTTAATATTGAAATTTTGTTTCATATTTTAACACAACCCACTTAAAAATTAAGCCTTTAACATATATTATAATCATCTCTGCCGGTGAATTGATTATTTATAATTGAAATATATGTTATATCAATATACATATGTTGTTTTTTTAAATCATTATTTTTTTCAGTTATCCAACATTAAAATGATGAAAATCCTAAAGTTGCTTTTTATTTTTATTTTTTTTTTTAATGTTTGCACTTGTTTCTGTTTTGTAAGCAAGCAAAATAAATAATTGTCTGAAAAATGCACTCTCTCGAATAATTTCAACAAGTTCCTCCAAATCTTGTGACACACCAGCAGACTGTCAGCGACGCACTGGTTGAACACCCAGCTGAAATTTTAAAAATTTAATCAGGAGTTCTCAGACGTTTTGAAAGTTGGGTATGTTCCATCATGTCGTCCATTTGACCTAGAATATCTGTAGGTCCAAACGTATTGGTCCTTTGCTTACATCATCTCACCTTTATAAGAATGGAAAATGATGAGCAATGCGATATATGGAAAAAATGAATTCTCTAAAATCATGAATTCTGAAACGTTTTGAAAGTTAAACGCTTGGATATGTCCCATCATGTCGTCCATCATTTGATCTAGAATATCTGTAGGTCCAAATGATTGGTCCTTTGGTTACATGACATCACCTCACCTTTATAAGAATGGTAAATGAGAAGCATGAGCAATGTGTTATATGGAGAATCAATTCTTGCACAAGCAACAGATCCGCACACCCACCCCCCCACCCCCCGGCAAACCTTCTCCACGCAGCTGTTGCAACCAAGGGCACCTCAATTAGTCGAATGTAGCACACAAAAATTCACATTGATTACGTCTATTACATTAAAATTTAATTTTTAAAGGGAAATAACTGTAAATTTTGAAAATGCAAACATGTTCCAAAGTTTGTCTCTCCTCCCTTAAATTAAAAAAAAAAAATTAAATAATTTACTAATTTGAAAGGAAATAACTGCATATTCTTAATTAAATATCAGATCCAAAGACTGTCTCTCTCTTAGCTTTTCGATTCAGATATATTTAATGATGATTTTTCGGTATATGTTATCCTGTCGATAAACAAAATTGATTCACAAATATGGCCATGGAACGGGGCACTCTCCCATGGCGCCAACATCGGGGGGGGGGGGGGGGGGGGGGGGAGGGCAGATTTTCTTTAGGGTGGATTTTGGTAGGGA